ACAAAATAAATATAAATTAATTATTAAAGATAAAAAAATTAGACTCATTTCTTATCAAAATAGAAAAAAACCTTTTGAATCGCCCCTCAAGGGGCTCGGGAAGAGCCTCTCGCAGGGCTTCTTTGGCGCGCACTTGCAATGACAGGTTTTACATGTCTTTTTTTGGCAGTTCTACTTTATTTACTTTTCTCTTTTTTCACTATTTGAAATTCCAATCAGTATCATTTTTGTCCATTTAGTTGATCTTTGCAGAATGTCGGATGATGAGCCAGTCAAAAAAGTTGGGGATTTCGTCATCAAAAACCACAGGTAAATTTTTTGAGACTTTTCCTTTTTTAATCGTTTTTTATACAGACTTATTCGGACAGTTGATGATGAAGCAAAAAAGAAATTTGAAATTGTGAAAGGAGTTGCTGTTCAGAACTATGGCATTTTTTCAGAGCCCACGAATAAAGTGCAAAAAGGTTTGGAAAGTGAAAAATGAAGGTTTAAAAATTCTTCTTTCAGCCGATCAAAGCGATGCTACCACTCAAACAAAGGATTTAACCGAGAAAGCTGATCCACGGAAGAAAAAAGACACGGAAAGCGCTGTTTTAAGAAATAGAGGATCCGGTTTTGATCAATGGCTGAGAAACGCAGTTATTTCGCGATATTCGGCGGATTTATCACCAGAAGGTTGGTAGTTTTTTTTTGTTCAAATACTTTATTCGTGTTTAGAATAGCTCGAGGATTTTTTCAATAGTAGGTTTTTAGAAAGCGGAGAATCTAGAAGATAAATGGACCAGAACAAATTTTCATTCTTTATTTTCAAGAATCCTTTTTAGTACTTAATTTTAATTGTATATGTGGGGCTCATTTTCAATGAGATATCTTCGAATTTTTAATAATTTCTTCCTTGTTCCTTGATAAGTTTTCTTGAAGTTATTACATTTATACCTTAAATAAGGGATTTTCAGCGTATAACTCTGTCAAATCGTCTATTCGGGTGTTGATTTCGAATATCGTGATCCAGGCAAGAGATGTTGCCAGTCGCTGTGGACGACGGAGGCTCATTCCGGACGATCTCGACACGGCTTTTGTGATTTTAGGCCTTCCGGTTGGTTTCATCGATTTCTTCTCTTTTTGATCTATTTATTGTGGAAAGTGGTTGGTTCAAAATAAGCGCCAGATAGTGAAAAAAATGATTGAATTTTAGAGAGTCGGAGGTAATTTTGATAATTCCCGAAATATCAAAAGTCAAAAAAAAAAAAAAGAGCTTTTTTAAATTTTTAAGGAGGTTAAGGTCTTACTGGAGTAGAAAGTAAGTTTCTAAGTAATTTTTTTAATAAATTATCGAACTTTAAAATACTTTTTTTAAAATTTTTTTCTACCAAGAAAAAAATGTAGTTTCAAACTGATTTCTGGAATTTTTTTAGTATTTTTGAAAAAAATTTCCTGGTTTTTTTGTAATTCATATAGGCCTTAAAAAAATCTGTAAAAGCTGTGAATTATACAAAAAAAACGTATGTTTGCATCATAATTTTAATCAAATTTTATATTGTTCATAAAAAAACAAAAAGAAAACATTTTTTTGGTTTAAATAACTTCCCTGTTTCCATTTTTCAAGTTTTTTTGAAAGTTTTTTACACATTTTTTTGATTCTTCCACCAGAAGATCAAGAAAATTAAAGTGAATATTTTTTTTTCGTCTTCAAGGGCCTCAAAAAACCATCTTTAGTTGTGCGAGAGAAATTCAATTTGACCTTTTTGATGAGATTTTGAAAAAAATTATCGATTTTTTCATCGGATTCTCCTTTTTTTCTGACTAAAGGACGATTATTCAAGGGCTAAGTTGAAAATTACCTTTAAAAAAAGGATCTAGAGCTCATTTTTGAGTTCCTAAAAAGGTTTCGAAAGTTCTTTTTTCTCTCTGAGGCGTCTTAATTTTTCCAAAAGCTCCTATTTAGGTCCTTCTGGACTTTGCCCATGAAGCATCTAGAAAAAAGCTCTATAGGCTCTTTTTTTTCTTTATTTTTCCGAAATGAACCTTTATAGAAAAAAAAGGTGAAAAAAACAATTCAAAGAAGGTTTTGACACCCTGAGAAAATTTTTAGTGACCATTTTAGATGCTCGCCAAGGACTTTTCGGAGAGGAAACTAAACTGGCCACTATTTCCTGTTTTAGTGGCCACTTTCAGTAGTTTTTCATCCAGTATTCCTTCCAGTAACTCTGATAATTTTAAAACAAACAGATTGGATCAGTTATGTTGATCCATTGACCCCTAAAGTGGCCACTTAACATTTTTAGGGGTCTAGTAGTAGCACTTAGACCTCTATAGTGGCCACTAATTTTCAACCCCTTAAGTGGCCACTAATTTGACTACTATAGTGGCCACTAAGACATCAAAACCCTATAGTGGCTACTAAAAATTTTCCCAGTCTGTTCAAGATCTCAAAAAGGAGCCCTGAATTCTCTTGTTTTCCTTATTTCGACTAATTTCCGAGGTTTTGAGGCTTCTTGGGCCTGTCCCAGCGCTGCATCGACGAGCATGTCGGAGCGGATGTACTGGGGTCGACGTCCGGTCGCGAAACCTCCGTCTAAAATTTCCCTCGATTCGGAAGATCTCCTCCGGCTTTCCAACGACAAATTCTGCGATTCCATCGTTATTCGAGGTTTCATTAGGCTGGAATTCCGTTAGAAATCTAGAATTTGTGTGTTTTTGGGCTTCTGTGTGTTGAAGTTGCCTATCAGCTACAAGTTTCAAAATTTTTCGTGTTCTTCATATTTTTGATTTTTATATATTTTTTTCAGGGCCAGTTATCATCAATTTCATAAATTTTTTTCCTCCATTCTCAGAATTTTTTTCATAATTTTTTTAATTTTTCATTGAATTTCTAAATTCTTTTTTTGATTGATTTTTGCCTTCTATGAGCTTTGAAAAAAATTGAAAAAGACTTAAAAAAATTTTTCTTAGTTTTTGGTTCAGTTATAGAAATATTTTTCTGTTGATTTAACAGATTTTTTTAAAAATTTTTCCCTACTCTATAAAATTATGAAGGTAAATATTTTTCTACACGAGTTTCCAACCAATATGCTCAAGAATTGTTGTATTTTTTTCCAATTTTTTTCTTCAGAATTCCTCATTTTCATTTATTTTTTTCAAGTGTTCAATAGAAATTCTTTTCTATTTCCAGATCATTGGCTCGTTATTGAAGGCGTTCAGCCTGTGTTACCGGAAAATGTCGTTCAGAATGACGTCAAAGACAATTTTTCTGCAGGTTTCTGGAAAAATTTTTTTACACCTGATATATCAAAGGAAACAAGCAAAAATGGCAAATTTTCATGCATTTTTTAAATTTAAGCGAGAAAAATCGTTTTTATGTGGTACGTGTCCGCACGATTGAACTTTATGAAATTTTCGAATTTTTAAGACTTTGAAGCTTGAAAATATGTTATTTAGTTCTTATAAGCCGTATAAAAGCTGAATTTTATCATAAACCCAGGAAGGAATATAATTTTTATAGGAATCGGATCGATTATTGGGAATAACTTCCCTTGGAAGCCGAAATTTGGTCGATAAAAATATCGAGAAACGATTCACGAAGCAGACTGTTTCTACGGTACCCTTTCATTCGTTTTCTAGTGAAAAAGATATTTTTTTCAGGAACATCAAGTATTTTTTTCAATGAGATCGTGCACGCCGTCACGTTTGGAAGTAGAATCGAGAGAGAGGTTTTTATTATTTTTATTCGATTTTCTGGGTTTTTTTGTTTCATTTTTTTCAAAGTCTTTTTTTAGAATTATGAGTAAATCTTCTAATTGTTTCTGTGGAAAATGGAAGTTTTTCGTAACTGTTGAAAGTTTAACTTGATAGAAGTTGTTTTTAAAACTTAGGTCTTCAAAGAAAAAGACACAGAAAAAGACGTTTCGAGCAATTTTTTTCAAAATTTTAATATCTTTGTATAGAAAAAAACTAGTTTTCGTTTCGAAAAATTTGACTAAAATGAAAAGAAAAAAACGAGTTAGCAATATAAGGAATTATAAAATATCTTCAATTCTTATTTTTTTGAGCCTTCTTTTTGTAATTTTTCAGGAAAAAAATTAAAAAAATATTTTTTTCATAGACAATATTGAATATTTTGAAGCTCTTGAAAGTTAAATTTATTGAAATGTTTTGTAAAAAGTTCGTCGTTAGAGAATTATCACATTAACTGGGAAAAATTTTTAGTGGCCACTTTAAAGGCTCGCCAAGGACTACTGGGAGAGGACACTAAAGTGGCCATTTAACCCACCTCTATAGTGGCCACTTCAGTAGTTTTTCATCCAGTATTCCTTCCAGTAACTCTGAAAATAGATATTTAAAACAAACAGATTGGACCAGTTATGTTGATCCATTGACCCCTGTAGTGGCCACTAAAATATGCAGTGGTCTAGTAGTAAAAAAGAAAGAAAATTTTTCCCAGAATGACTGAAAAATGCTCCAAAAATACAATGATTTTGATTTTTCGTACGAAAAACAAGTTTTCTGCTTCAGAAATGAACTAAAATGAAGATAAAATAAATATGCGATTCTGTTCGTTGGCGAGATTGGTATAAGATTTTTTCTTTTTTCAGAATCCCATTGAGAAAGTTTTAATAAAAGTTGTACTATCTACAAATTAATTTAGGAAAAGTTTTGACAGTTCAGCGGAAAAAAAAATAGGTTTAAACTTCTCGGGCAAAGTCGGAATGGTGGATAATGGCCGAGAAAAGGGAGGGGCTCCAAAAAGGGCCCAAAAAGGCCGCAGAAAGGCAGCAAAGAGACTCCCTTTATCGAGCCTTCCATTTTTCTGGGATTTTAAAGGTTCAAGAAATGGTGGAAAAGGGAAAGGTCGCAAAAATGGTGAATGAGGGCCGAGAAAATGGCGCAAAAAGGCAGCAAAAAGGGAGCCTTCATCACCCTAAAAGGAACTTTTCTATATAGCTTTTTTCCACCCTTTCCGACATTGCCTATGTTAGCTTTTTTAAATGGAAAATAGGCTTCAAAAACGTCTTTTTTTTAATTCACTGGAATTTAAATTTTAGCGAACCCTTCACACGTTGGAAACCGACAAGGGACTTCAGTATTTGGTTGGACGTTTCGTTATTTTGATTTCCGAAGGTTTCTTGAACTTTCAAAAGGATAAATGGATTAATTGTTCCAATTGAAGGAATCCGGGTGAATATCGGAGCGAGAAATATTTCGACGATCGTCAATTTGATCAAAATGACGTGGAGCGTCTTCCGAAATCCCCATGTTCGGCTCGAAAGACATGTGGGCAGTTTTGGCATTTTTCTCTTCTGATCAATTTCCTAACTTTTCAAATTTTGATCAAAAAGGAGCCTATTGAAAATTTTGAAAAGATTATCGGAGCTTCTTATTTTTTTTAAACGTCTGGTAAGGGAAAAATGTTAGTTTTATAGAGTTTTTCCATCAGATTTCCTTGAGAAAAAAACAAATGAAATGGTATGATTTTTTCCACAAACGAGTTGTAGATTGATTTTCATAATTATCATAGTTATCTTATCCAGAAAAAAATCCGGGTTTTTTTCAAAATAGGCTATTGAAAGGAAAGGACTGAATGCAGGATATTTTTTTGTCACAAAATGATTAAATTATGAAATATTCATATTTTCATATTTACTGTATGTCGACCGCACTATTGAAATTTCATGGCGTGCGTTTTTTTATTTATTATTTCCGGGAAACTGATTTTTTTCTCTTTTTTTCATTATTTTGTACGGTCAAAACTGCTGAAATAGTCATTTTTTTGCTTGAATTAATTGCGCCAAAACTAGATCACGAATTGAAGTTTTTTTGCGAATAGACAGACTATTAATTGAATAAATGGTTTTGGGATTTTTAATTTATAGATTTTTTTCTTCTTTTTAGCATTAACTTTAAAATATTTATTTTTTTCACACACACACACACGGCTCTAGCTCTGGTGCTAATCGCGTATTTCTTTTTCTCCTCAATTTTTTCTCTCTAAAGTTTAGACTCTAAACGTTCTCAACCTTTCCAGCTCCACATCCTGCTCCCTTCAGTCATTTCGTGTATTGTCGCGAAAAGTCTTACGATATCGACGGCCCAGGCGCTGGACAAGAACAACAAAAAGAAACAACCCGACGACGCGGCCCAACAGATTTCCTTCGAATACCGATTGAGGGAAACTTGTGCCAAGCTCTTGGCCAAAATCTGCGAGTTAGTTGTCGAAAATGGATGAGATGTTGAACTTTGAGGAGTTAGGAGATCAGAAAAAAAAAAATTAGTCTTATCAGGCTTAAGCGATTTTCAGTATTGAATAAGCCCTCAGAAGCTGACGGAGTGATTAAAAAAAAACGAAAGTAACAAAAAAAAATGAATTTTAAAATAAATTCCAAAGTTTTTTGTGTGAATAAAACTGCATAAAGGTTTCTTTAACTTGAATATTTTTTTGGTTTTTTTCTTCGAATTTTGTTAATTTCCACGCATTTGCGTAAATTTTAAACGTTATACCTGATTGGAACTTAAAAATTTAGTTTCAAGATTTTTCGAATTTTTTTCGGCTTAAAAAGGAGTTATTTTTCTGCACTTTTAACAGTTTTTTTAAGACAGCCAAATATTTTTTCTGCGAAACACCCCACTAGGGAAGACATTTTATTCTATGATTGGGGTTTTTCTAAAACTTGACTGGAACTTTCCTTGAAGTAGCAAAAGAAGGTTCCGAAAGTCCCAAACTACCAAACTTTTTAGTTCTTGAAAAAAGCACACCTCAAAAACCTTAAAATCTGTAAAAACGAGGCTTTGAGCCCTTATTCCTTGAAAACTAGAAAGCTGTGAAGTTTGAGACTTTCAGAATCTTCTTCTGGTTCATCAAAAGTTTTTTTTTGCCGAATTTCAGGAGATTCACAACCCCTAAATGGTCCCCTAGTAGAAAGTTTCGATAACCAGCTATATTTTAATGATTTTTCTACGTCTTGGCAAAGTTATCTTGTCATTTTCTTATTCAAAAAATGATTATCGTGATCTTCCAATTTTTTTTTTCAGCCAATTCGACGCCTTGCGACTTCGCCTACGTGTAATTACAGTTCTAAAAAACGGTCTGACTTCGAAAACCGCCACGACGACTCTTTACGGGGCTATTTACGCCATTTTTGCGATGGGACTTTTGGTAAATGAAGAAAAATAATGGTGACATGTTCATAGGACACGGCGTTTTTTTGGCGACGCCTCGCTAATAATTTTTCCGTAAAGTGTAGTGTGTCGTGTGCATGCACTGCAGCGCTCTCGCACATGCCGCGTTCAAAGTAATTTTCGCGAACTGAAATTCAGTCATTTTTTCATTCTCTGGTGGCTATTTTGAATTTCGCGGAATTACTTTCAACCCGGCATGTGTTTTGATACAAAAAAAAACAGAAAAACCGCGTTTTTTTTAAAGAAGAAATAGGTTCGTCTCGGGACCCATTGATGCGCCTTTAATATTTCCTGTTGTTTACGCGTTTCTCTCATGACGTCACATGGGAACGGCGGAGATTTTGACCATGCCCTCTTCATTTTTGGTTTTGCATTTTCTTCCACTAAAAAAAAGGCCGTGAGGAAAAAATTGGCTTCGAAACGCAACGAAAACTCTTCGAAATTACTGTTTCGGGCAACTTTGGGGCACAAATAAGCACTTTATCGCGCGTTTTTGTGCTTTTTTATCAGTTTTCAGTTGAAAATGCCTTGAAAAAAGAGAAGAAAAGAGAAAAATGGATTTTTTTTAGAATCCTGTAGCTTCTCTGATTGAAATATTGAAGGCTTCAAAAATTTTTAAAAATCAAAAAATCACTTTTTAGGCCGTGAAAACAATCTTGCTGCCCCGGCTTCACGATATTTATTGCAATATTTACGGTGCGGCGGAAGATTTCCTGAACAAAGGAAAGCTGGACGTTTTTGAAATGCGAGCGGTTGAGTTGGTCATGGTGGGAAAATGAAAAAATTCCAAAAAAGTCGGTTTTTCTGTAGAAAATCCTGTACGAAGTCGAGTGTTGCGAGCCGGCGGACACAGTAAGGACGGAGAATTATTTGACCCAGCATTACGGAGAGTTCGGAACCATGCTGTTCAAGTGAGTTTCTGTACTGAAAAAAAGAGAAAGAAAGAAAAATAATATGCAGAAATTTGGCCGAAAGGGTGGTCCTTCATTGGAAACATTTGTGTTCTTCTCAATTATTCAGTTTACATTGAGATTTCTCTAAAAATTGGGCAGAATACTCTCTGATGTACCGAAAATGTCCTTTGTTCAGCTACCTCATCGAGATGAAGAAGCTCACCGAAACACGAACTCTGGTCATCGACGAGGGTCTGTGGCTTGTGAAGAACATGAATGCGACGCAACGGAGGCTCGCCGAAAAGCCCAAAATGACCTATTCTCAATATTCGGTGCCGCCTCCCGCCACGAGCATGATCTTCGGAAGGAGGGGCGGCCCCGTCAGCGAGGACATGCTCGAGAACCTTCTCGACGACTCGCACCATCCCTGGGCCGACGTCGTCAAAGAGAACGGTCTCACCAATGGAAATGCCGAGCGGAAACCCTCGGCCAGCGGCATCTCTCAGCCCAAGCTCGTGCTCATCAGAAAGAAGTCTCCGGTCAACCAGACCGAATACGTCAAGCCTCTGGAACCGATCAAGGTCCCGGGCAGGCCCGCCCGGCCGACTTTGACCCCGCAACGGAGAGAATCTCACGCTCCGGGCTCCATCTCCAAGGCGAGATCAATGAGCACGAGGGTCAGTCGCATGGTTTCGATGGAAGACGTGACTGCGCAGGTGAGAGCTCTTTTTTTATCCCATTTTGAGTTTCAACAAGTATTTTGTAGTTTTTTGTTCCGTTTTTTAGAATTGTCCTTTCTTAACTTCACTTTGAGCCGTGTAGAAAATTTTTGAATAATGGGTTTTGAGACTCCAGAAAAATAAATAAAATAATGATCTGGGCCAAAAAACTTCCTTCTCATCTTTTCAGACAAAAAAGTATTTCTGAGCTTTTTCAAAGTTATTTCAGTTACAAAAATTGAAAAAGTTCTTCCCTTTTTGTAATTATTCGAAAAAGGTGATATGTTTCAAAATACATTTTTATTCCATTTTTAGTCAATTATGATTAAAGCAAATAAACTAAAAAAATCGCCTTTTGATCGTTTTCTCGATTTGGTACTGTTTGAAAGAAAGGTTGGAAATTTTCTTTATTCCCAATTTTTTTTTGTATTCGAATTTGAAAAAAAGGGGGTAGAAGACATTATCAGAAGTTCGATTTCATGAATCGAAGAGTTGATCGAAAGATTTTTTTCTAACTATTTTTGCTTTTTCTAAGAACTTTTCTTGCTCATACACAAGCTCTAGAAGTCCTTAGAAAAAAAAAACCAAGAAACAGGTTTTTTTCATTTTAAAGCTGCTACCCCGAAAGAAAGAAATCCCCAAGTCAAATTTTGCAGTCGTCTCGAAATCCAGCGGAATTCATGCGCAAGTTCTTGTCGAGACCTGCTCCACAGGCGGCGGCTGCTGTGTACGGACGCGAAATGACGGCCAACGCGACGAAAAAGTCGACGGTCGATCAAATGATCGCCGACAGCGCCTTCCGACTCAACACCGGCCGGATGAAGACGGCGGTGGTCGTCCAGAAAATGTCTTCTTACTCCGGCTCGAGTTCCCGCGTCGATGCCGACTTTGGCAAATTCCTTCTCCCTTCCGATCCGTCGTCTCGCTTGTAGTCTTGCAAATCTTAGTCTCCGAAACACTGACTATGTCGCACGCGATATAGCTGAGCCTCATTACTGTGACCTCGTTGAAGTCTCGCTGCCATATCATTTCTTCTCAGAGTTTCGAGAAATCTTTTCCATGTTTTTTTTCTTTCTATAATGCGATAGGTTAAGTTATAGAAAAAAACTTTTTAACAGAAAAATTTCAGAGCGATATAGCGCAAGACTTTCGCGATGTCGCATAAAAGAGCGATATCGCTTGTGACACCGCTTTTTTTACGCAATTTTTTTCGGAAAATCGAAAAGAAAAAGACCTTTTTTTCGAGTTTGTTTTTTGTTTTTTTCCCATTTGAATCTTTTTATAAAACTTGATTTTATCAAATTTTTATGAATTTTAGAAAATTTCAGGCTTCATATTTTTTTGTTTCAATATATCGAAAAAAAGCTGTTTTTTTGGATGATCAAAAAAAGTATGCTGATTGAAAAAAATTTTTTTGATGCTTTTTTTCAAGAGATTTTTTTCGAGTTCCGTAGCTTCCTGAAATCTATGGCTGTTTTTCTTCAGAAGTTTTTTTTTTCTCAAAAATTTCGGAAGATTTTTCTCCTTTTGCCTTTTGAAGTTATCATGTGTAGAATTATCAATATTCAGTCATTATTCGAATTTGAATGTCAACTATTATACTGCTTTTTTTAGATTTTGAATTTTTTTCCATGAGCTTCTTCCATTATAGAGATTTTAGGTCTTTATTTTGAAGATTTCGAAATTGAAAGGGTTTTATTTATTTTTTTATATGTTTAATACAATATTTTCAGTATTTAAGTCCTGAATTTATCAAAGGAGGAGAATCTAAAAATTATAATCAAAACGGCTCTTCGCTTCGAAACTTTCATGAAATGTTTTAAAAATAACAGCAAAAGATTTTTTTATACAGACTTTGGTACGATTAAAGTTTTTGAATTATATTCATCAAAAAAATTATTTTTCTTAATCTCTTTGCTTTGAGACCAAAAATTTTTCATGTTTGATCTTAATTATTATATTTTTTTTATGAATTTTTTTTGTTCGAAAATTTATCTTCTATCTCAATCAGGTTCTGACAAATTTGTGCAGAGTAACACGATTTATTTATTATTTATTTTCGAATTTTGGTTGTTACCTTATCTTTTCCTAGTCCTTTCCAATCTTCCTTATTTTGATTCCTCCATACCTCAAATATATGTACACTTTTCACTTGTTCCATCTTATACTGCCTCTTTCTCAAAATGTGTCGTTTATCCTCATTTCTCGCATTTTCAGGGGACTTTTTTTTTTAATTCTTAGGTTTTTATTGCAATTTATTCCGAGCTGTTTTTGATTTCGGATATAATGAACTCTGATCGTTTTAGTTGAACTGTGGAGCTAGAAAATTTTCAAATACAGTCTTGAAAAATAATAAGAAATCTCATTTTCCCGCTTTCCCTTATGTAAGTAATTGACTAAACTATCAAAAAACTTGATAGTTACAGAACTAGTGAAAAATAAATTATTCCCTGTCCCTTGTTTGATTAAACTCTCGCCCTCGAGAAGGTCAGCGGGAAAGAAAAAGAAATGAAAACTTTCTAGGAATGTGTCCCGTTGCGAAAAAGGCACCGCTATTATTCATCCCATATGATTTTCCTCCTACCAACGGATGAAAATTACTTTTTCTTCCATCTCCGCAGGCTTTTTACCACCCCCACGAATTAAACTGACCGTTGGCGCGTGTTCAAATTGCGCCAACTTGGTCGGAAAAATCAAGCGAATAACAAAAACTCGATCGTTTTCTCTTCATTTGAGCTTCTCCTTCTGAAAAAATCTTGTTTTTTGGGGATAAAATTGAGAACCAGTTGCTGCCGTAACTGATCCAAAGATTGGGAGAAATCAGCCCCGGATGGCTGTAATCAAACGGCGGAAAAAGAACTGGTAAGGGGACGATTGGGAGGAAACGCGTCATGGGCCGTTTGTTGCGTCTTTCGGACAAATACTCGACGCCCATCACTGTTGATCAACACCAGAAACCCGTTGAAAATGTCCCGATGGCAGATTTTCGTCCGTTCTACGAGGGCGTGGTCAAGGAGATACCACAGAAAGGAAACTGTTGCCTTTTTTGGGAGTAAATTGACCGATCAAGAAGCCTATTTTGATAATTAACAACACAAAATTGACACATTGTTTTGTGATAGTGTAGTCTGTGTGCCACGCCTTGAAATCAAAAAAGAGAAAAACAAAGACGAATGCAAAAATTTTGTAAAAAAATAAAAGTTTGCGCGTACGTTTGTGTGCATGTGCAGACACCCCATACGAAGAAAACAGCAGAGTTCCCGCGCAACGTTTCACGTTCTCGTTTTGTAGATTCACGGTGTTCCGCGCAATAAAAAAAAATGCGAAATTTTGGGTCCCAGCGGCATCTCGGAAAAATATTATCCGTAGCGCATCATTGCGCCCTTCTCATGGTTTCTGATGCAAAAATTGAATTTCTTCACTTTTTTCATTGGTTTTTTGCTTTTTTTCTACTTCTTGCATTTATTTGATCCGCCTCTTTATGGGTATCTCATGTGGAGCTTTAACTTGCGCACTCCCTTCACCGAACGACATTCCGCTGTTCCGCTGCGTGCGTTCGCGAAGCGTCTTTCGAATCTAGGTCCCGCTTTCAATTGATATTTATTGCTGTGCGTGCACATGAAAGTAGAGTCTTTAAATAAAAGAAAAAAACAATTAAAAGCGCGACCAAGGTTCGCAAAGGCGCGCAGTGGAACAGCAGAATGTCGTTCGGTGAAATTCCAGGTCGTGGTACACAGGCTATAATAGAATTTTCTATGCGACTTTGAAAATTATTCAGCAAAAAAAGTTTTATTTTGTGAAAAATAACCTTCAAAGTACTAATTCACAAAAAGAAACTTGCCCTTGACCATTTCACAGGGCACGGCTTTTAATATGGCGCCGCAGCGCTGTGATGGGGTTATGTCACCTTGGCGCCGTCTCAATGTCGCTTACGACCATATCACGTTGAAAACACGCCATCCCGTCCGATCTGGCAAGTTAAGCAACGTTGAGAGCCGGTAGTACTTGGATCGGAGACGGCTTGGGAATTCGGCTTGCCGTAAGCTTTTTGCTTTGGTTTTCCATACAAAATATTAGTTTTCAAATTTTTTTAAGGTGACTGCAGCTTATAAGTCTATGAGGCCTTTATAATTTTTGAAGAGTTGACTTGAGAAGAAATTTATCTTTTTATTTTTCTGTATTTCTGGAGACTCACTTCTGTTTGGGTTTCTGCAAGACTTTTTTTATGGAACCAAAAAAATTTTTCAAAAAAATGAGAGTTCGAAATTTTTTTCCAAACTCGTCCAGCACTGACTGGGGTCCTGCGCGAGGGGCTAATCCAGGGACGAAGGACAGCACTCGCTTACGACCACATCACGTTGAAAACACGCCATCCCGTCCGATCTGGCAAGTTAAGCAACGTTGAGAGCCGGTAGTACTTGGATCGGAGACGGCTTGGGAATTCGGCTTGCCGTAAGCATTTTTTGCCATTAGCACTCTGAAATTATTTTTTGAATCATTAAATTTCCCAAAGACAGGTGCGAAAAAGTCACAACCAATGTCAGAACATATCAGTTCATAGTTTCACCATTAAAAGAAATATCCAAAAACCTTTGGAAAACTTCTAAGAAAAAAGTTAGAAGGTCTATTAAACTTCATTCTCAAACCTAGGTCACTGGAAAAAAATCTTCCGCCGGAAACGCTGGGAGAAAGGGAATAATTGAGCGCTCTTGAGAAAGCCCTTGACACGGTATCCACTGGAGAAAGTTGTTTTGACTCGATTTTTGTATTGCAGTTTTGTTTTGACCTTTTTTGAGTTACAAACTTATAGGAATAACCTTCAAAATTATCAATTTTTTCAGCCTTTTTGAACTTTTCAACTGAACCAAAACGCTTTGAAATTCAAGCAGTTTTCACATAAAACAGCTTTTCCCAGTTCCAACCGAATACTTTCCTTTTCCGAGCTCTAACAAGACTTATATGATTCCTAGGGAGTTAACATAAATAAGCAATGTCCATAATTTATTTCCGTCTCGTCGGCTTGTCATGTCCTGCGATGTTTAGCGAAGATAATATTCTCTTTTGACGATCAGAAATTATCCAAAGCCAATCTGGCAAAACAACCAGATTGTTCCACTGGTTTTCCTTATCTCAACTGGAATAATTTAGTGTTGAAACTTTTTTGTTATTGTTTAGGAACTAGTTCGAGTGAAATAGCGAATTTTCTTTTTTTTTTTTCCTATAAAAATTTTTTTGGGAATTTTTTTTTGTGTACATAAAGCTATTAACAAGGGAAAGTTGAGAGTTTTTGAATGAAAAAAATAAATTTCTTGAACAGCTAAAAGATTGGACTTTTTTTCTGCTTTAAAAACTGAAATTTGAGGTTCAGCTTTGCTAATTTTAAGCTCAAAGTACTGTCCTCAAGATGAAGATACCAGAATAAGAGAAAAATGAGGAAAAATAAATTCGAATCTCATTCAAATAGCCTCTTTTATTTTCAAGTAAGTTCCCTCTTCTTTTCAATATTTTTTGAGGAAGTCAAAAGCTCCAAAAATGCTCTAGAGGCATTTTTAAATGTTTTGCTTTTTCAAGCACCTGCTCATTTGATGTATAATGAAAGAGCAACAAACTTAAAATAAAACAAGAAAGAAAGGCAATTTTTTTAATAGAAATTGAGACCATAAAATCATAAAGTTTGTCTTTTTTTGAAAAAAACTTAAAAGTAAAAAAAGCATTAAAATTGCCTAAAAAAGTCTTCATTTCAGTTTTTAAGTTTTTTTATAATTATGAAATAAAAGTAAATTATTTTTTTACTAGATGAAATTTATTTTTTTAAACAATAAACTTTACTAATGACATCTTGAGAGTTTCAAAACCGCTTAATTTTTCAATTTTCGAGAACATTCGGTTCAGCTGAGAAATGTATGATAAAAAACAAGAGTTTCCGCTATTTTTAAAATAATTCTAAACTTTGACGAGATATACTTACTCAGCTGGCCAGTCAAAAGCTTAAAAAACACCCTAAGGGCATTCAAAAGTTCCCTGCCCCTTCCAGCACTCTGTTTTTTTTTCGGATCATGAAAAAGAAACAACGACATTGCTTGTGTAATAAATCTTCGAACACTTCCCTATCCCCTTTTACTAGCCAGAGGGGCAAAGGAACTGGTATAGTGGAGGCGATTCGGATCTCGCCAGCCTCACGTCGCCGGATTCTTTTTCTTGGCTCCGCCCATCCGACAGACAATTTTGGGCCCTTCGGACAACAACACGACTGGCAGGCTTCCTGGAAAAAGACTTGCTGACTTTGGCAGTCTCACTGGAAAGTTGGATTCGACGTATATTCTCCTACTCTACTCGATAGGATAGCCTCATCGGAAGCGGGTTTTTTTTCGTCGGCGGTCACAGTCAAGCGGAATTAATCATTGGCATAGACCTACTCCTACTCGGCCAGCCATTCATCATCGTCCGACCGACTGACACATGATTCGACGTCTTCTGCTCCTGCTTCTGATCCACACGGCAACTGGAAGGTTATCGACGAGTTCGGATTCTTTCGGAATCCCAAACTCAGCGCCCAGAAATGCCGGTGCTGCCTTTGTGGATCAGAGCCAACAGCCAAGGTTGAGGTGGGACCATCAAGCTTTCTTCCTCAACACCCGAGTTTTCATTCCTGTGTGATGATTTAAAGACAAAAATATTAATATTTTTCATCCGTCTCGAGTTGAAACTTCCGAATTCTCTGCATTTTATTTCAGTCACCAACGAGATTAAAAAAAACAAGGAAAAAGCACCTAAAAACTTGAGCATGGTCGACGGAAAAAAGAGCGCAGAGTAATAATTTACTTTTAATAAAAGAATTATTTTCGTTTTTTTTATCGTTTCGTAACATCATAAACCGAAATTTGATCTCTATAACATCACTAAAAGCATAAGATCATAGTTATTGGCTTAATATAATATATTTTTAAAAAAAGAAAAGAAGTAAAAAAAATATTTTTTTATTTCTAAAAAAAGAACGTGGGAAATTGCGCGGGAACTCTGATGTTTTTCTTCGATTGTGGTGTCTGCAACAAACATACGCGCAAATTTTTTTATTTTTTTACAAATTTTTTTATTTAATAATTTGTGTTCTACAAAATTTTTCGCATTCGTCTTTGTTGTTCTCTTTTGTTTGTACAAGTATAGGTACTTTCCATCCGTTATATTATTGCACTTTTCACTTGCCTGATGTAATTTTCATTCAGTTAGGTTCAGAGAAAGGTTGAATCCATTAAAAAAAGTTTCTCATTTTTTTATGCTTGAGAAAATTTTTTTTTGCGTTACTACGTCCTCAAGGTGAAAAAACCCAGAGATATTTTTTTTCAATTTCTTTCCTTTCTCCATCCTCTTATGACGTCTATTTTCTTTATCATACCATTTCATAACATCATGAACGTGTTCTGCAAAGTCACTGGCAAACATTAAAATTAGAGCCGGGCGAATAAAGCCTAGAATAAAAAGCCGTGTCGACAAATGCGCGAAAAACCGCCTTTTGAGCTATAAATCCGCGCCCTCGGCAATTTTCTCTCTTCTCCGCCTTGTTGTTTCGTATTGTTTCGACGATTAAGAAGCGTGGTTCTTCATGTTTTATTCCTCATAAAGTTGATTCTCTTCTTATGGAGTCGAACAAGAAAAAAAAAGGGGGAAATTGAGTGTTTTCTGGAACTTTTGATCGACCAAAAAAGGACATGGGAAATTTAGCTCAAATTAAAAAAAAAAGCACGAAAAAGCGCAAATTCTGTTAAGGCCAACGTTTTTTTTTCTATTTTTTTTTCCCGATTGCTTCAATTTTTGAAAAATCTCATATCCAATTTTTAACTATGTCATTTTTTTTGTAAGTGGATAATTTGAAAAAATATTTGTAGTCCTTTTATGTAAGTGAACTCATATTATCATGGCCCTTTCTATCCGAAAATAATATTCCAATCAAAATAATTTTTTCTTTTTCTTCCCAACAAAAGGAGAAATATTCCAAGTAGACCGTTATTTTTTACTACCTATCTGCGAAATATTCCGGAAAAAAGCCGACGGGCGGTCCTTTTCCGCATTTTGATTTGCATTTTAAGTTCTCGAAAGTGAATTCGAAGTGAAGTAGAACACCGAGAAAATGCAAATTTCTCCTTTTTATCCGGAAGATTTTCACGAATGATGCAAAATTATTTTCGAGTCCTTTTTTTAAGATTCCATACACATTTTATACGTTCAAACCGGAATTTTTCCTCGAAAATTCAAAGTTTTTTTTTTAGTTTTTAATGATATTTTCAATGAATTTTAATGATACTGGATGATCAAATCGATCAAATTTAACTTATAAGATTTTTTTCAAAAACCAACTTGAAAAAAATTGTTCAAAGAACGATTTTTTTAAATTAAAAATTCCTCTTACTTCTCTTTTTCGAAGCTTCATTTTTCAGGACGTCTTCTGATGACGTCACGGAATCAGAAGAACTTCCAAAAGAGAAAATTCCGGACCGTGCTCCCGGCTGGAATCTCCACGTTGGAACCCAATCTGAACATCGACTGAGTATCCAGAATTTGGGACAAAGTGATGAGGTCTCTTTTTTCGGGTAGGGAAAAAATGTCGAATCAGGAAAAAAAAAATGAATTTGTTGCTTTTCGCTAGCTTCTTTTGTAGCTTTTTTCGCACGTTCCTTTACCAAAAGCGGAAAATACCTTTAAAAAAGGTCTTGAGGCGAAATTTTGGTTGAATCCCGTTAAATTTGGTTTACGGGACATCGACCCGCAAGTTGAGTAATCATGTAGAAAACGGGTGAAAAATAATTTGCAAAAGGGATTTTCCTGGGAAAAAGTCCGGTGGCCACTTAAGAGGTTTCTCAAAAGCTACTTGGAGAGGGCACTAAAGTGACCACTAAAATCACATCCATAAAAGCCCCTATTTTTCGTCTTAGTGGCCATTATAGTGTTTTTTTAATGAACCATTCACACTTCTAAAGAGGCCACTGTACAAAAGGCTCATTCGACTACTCAAGTAGCCACTAAAACTTTTAAACCCTAAAGTGGTCACTGAGAATTTATTTCGTTTTTTTTTTTTGGGATCACTTCTGGGAAATTTTTAGTGCCCATATAAAGTTCCTTAGAGATTACTTGGAGAGGGCTCTGAAGTGACCACCGGAATGTCAAAACCCTAAAGTGGTCACTGAAGCTTTCCCCGGAGCGGTCTCATCAGCAGCTCTGGGAGAGAAACAAGCGCGGAATGGACTATAACGATTTTCCAGGTCCTGCGACAGTTTTGGAAAGGTGGAAATGGCGGATCGCCCTATTCAACCAGCGCCCCTATAACTTCTACAGGTAAATATTGATACTTTCAATTTTTAAAACGTGAAAATTTTCAGAAAGTGTCCAAAAATGGCGCCAGAATAGACTCGTTCAGCCAAGAAGTCAGCGAAAAAGAAAAGATGTTAGAGATCAGGAGAGCGCAGGTTTGTTAGAGAAAAAGAGGTTTTTTTAAAGGAAGTCAGCTAACAAAATCTATTCTTTTTGTTATTTATAAGTTTTTTTCGTTGAGTTTATGTATGAAAATTGAAAATAATGATCATTTTTCCCTACTAAATCTTTTTTTTTTGGGATGTTCTACTCATAGTTTTTTTAATTCAAATTGGCCAAGAGGTTTTAATAATCTCACTTAATTTTTTATTTCGTGATGAGACCTTTAAAATTTGAATTTTGCTAGAAAAAAAGAAGGATGAAAAAAACATTTTTAAAAAAATGAGGTTTTTTTGGAAGGAAATTTTTTTGAAGTTGTTTTTTAAAAAAAGCTATGTTTTTTTAATATTTCAGAAACCGTTTTTATTCAATATTCTTAGCGAGTCTTTTTTTAATTAAAAGGTCCCATTTAGATTTTTCTGAAAAAGTCGTAATAAGTTTTTTTCGGAAAAAAATTTCAAGAATTTTTTTGTTTTTTTCTTGTTTTTTTCATGGAAAAAAACGGTTTTTTTAAAATCTATTCTTGTAACTAAACTCCTAACTTTTTAACCTAACTTTATGTTCTTAACAACAGAAAGCCAATGGACAAACTTCGAAATCCCGAAAAAAATCGCCAAAAAAATGGACTTCCAACGATTTGGCATCCAATGCCTGGTACCCTGTCTTCGAAGGTTTTTCTAATCATTTTTAACAAAATAACTCGGGTTTTCGTTTTTTTAAAAGTATTTTTAAAGACTCATCCTAAACAAGTGTTTTTTGCGCGAGACGGTCACGTTTTTAGAACACAGCCAAAAAAAAGCTACCGTAAACAGAGATTTTTTTGGACCCCTGTGTGTCCTAAAAAAACCGCATAGAAGGTCTTCAAGTGAAATTTGTCTTTTCGGCAAAAAAAAAACGGGAAAATCTCGCGCGGAATGGTTCAAACTAACAAAATAATTCAAACTGATTTTTTTATTCTTGAAAAAAATCTCAGAAAAAAATCATTGGCCGACGATTTCGAAGAGGAAGAGGAATCGTTGAGAAAAAGCTGAAGAATCGGAAGGATTGGTTTGTTTTCCGGAGTTTTACTTGATAAATGGAAAAAAAGACAAACTTGTAAAAAAATCAGCAACGGAAAAAAATCATAATTTAAAAAGTTTAATTTAAAAATTCTGTAGTAATTTTTTTCATGACTACTCAATATATTCATTGATTTTTTTCTGTGGAATAGCGATTTTCTCCCTTTGAAAATTGAGTTTTATCTGAGAATTTTTGGGATCTTTCATTTGGAATTCCAGGTTCAATGATGATTTTTAAGGGTCGGAAAAAAAGGAAATTTTTTTCTTTTTCCTTATGTAAGATGTCATGAAAAGCTCTGAAACTTTTTTTCTGATCAAGATAAATTTCTCGATTTCACATTTTCTAGGCAAATGGTACCGCCAGACGGGAAGACTCACCGGAAAGCGAGGAAGTGGACGAAATGACGAGAGCCGAGGGGGTCAAAAGTGTGAATGTAGGTTTTCACTATAGGGTTTTTGAGTATTTATAGGATTTTGTTTGAACATTTTCTCGAATTTCTTGATCGAATTGAAATTTTATACTTTTTTTTTTGATGTCTTAATTACAAATTTGAATCTCATGCACTTTTATAAGGGTTTTACGAGATAGCGGCTGAAAAAAAAATTGTTTTTATTCGAAATCAAGGGTTTTTTAATACCTAGTCATTTCATATTAAATAAAACTGATTTTTTTCAACCCTATGAGATTAATAATTATATTTTTTTATTCACATGTAAAAAGCAAAATAACAGGTACAGATATGATTAACAAGAGAAAAATTAGCGTATAAACTTGTAAAATATGAATGAAAGGTAATTGAGGCCCTCACGAGCCTCTGAGCCAGTGAGGAAAAATGGTGAGGTGAAATGAAAATTAAATAATTAATATTGTTCCTCGCGTCTCTCATAAATCATCTTTCAAAATTAAGAGCAAGTTCAAGTATATTTGAAAAGGCGCCTAGGATAAATTGTGTGTCATGACTTAAAATTTCACCGAACGACATTCCGCTGTTCCGCTGCGTGCGTTCGCGAAGCGTCTTTCGAATCTAGGTCACGCTTTCAAGTGATTGTTATTGCTCTGGGAGCACAGGAAAGTAGAGTAACTTAATAAAAGAAAAAATAAATAAAAAGCGCGACCAAGGTTCGCAAAGGCGCGCCGCGGCACAGCGGAATGTCGTTCGGGGAAATTCCAAGTCGTGGTACGCAGACTATATTCTTAAAGAAAGTTTAATGTAACTTCTCTGTTTCTGGAGTGAAACTTAAAATTGATTAACCGAAGTTCTTGTTTTTATGCAATGTAAGCGTTAAGAATACTTTCGAGATTCTAGGTTCACAAGTTTTTTCTTGAAAAATTGCAAATGTAGTCAATTTTTCCCGATTTGAAAGGCGAGGGAGGCGTGGCAAGGGGCGGGACGCGTAGCGTGTGCGTTCGCGGTGCTTGGCACGTGTTGAATTCAACCGCCATCGACTCTTTGAAAATCCCGTTTTTTTCGCTCTTTTTCATTCCTTTTTCAATTATTTATTGATTATTGTCACGTGTTCATTAAAAAAAAGTAGAAAACATTGAAAAGAGCGATTGCCGAGCTTTTTAAGTAGTCGGCAGCAATTGAATTGAACTGGCGCCAAGAACCGCGTACGCACACGCTACGCGTCCCGCCCCTTGCCCCGCCTCCTTCGCCTTTCAAGTCGGGAAAAATTGACTATGTAGGCCCAAAGTATATTATTACAAAGTTTGTTTGAAACTTCCCGCTGAACCTTCATTTTTATCCAATTTTATTTTTGAGTTTTTGCGTCCTAACTTTCTCAACTTGTTAAGGAAAGTTCTATTTCTCGTGAAACTCAAAAATCATCCATTTTCCAGAACAACCGGCTGGAACCGAGCGGTTACACGGGTGGAAATGAAGGTGGGAATCTTAAAAAATGTTTCACTTTCAACAAAATTTTTCTAATTGAGTGATGAGTGGTTCTCCTTTCACCCACATTTAACAATTTTATTTGATCAAATCAACATTTTGAGTGCCTAACCAACGATTCAGGCAATAATCTACAGGATTGGCAAAAACTTCAACCCGACGGCGAAATGTTCCCCGAGGGCTATGATGGTGAATCTTTGATTTTTTCTGAATATTTTGCAAAAGCCAATTTTTTTATTTGAAAGTTCATGCGTTTCGATGAATCTACTACTAGTAGTTAGAGCTCAAAAATCGTCTTTTTTTTGAATTTATTTTTTTTCTTTAGGAGTTTTTTTGTGTCATTCACGACACGTGAAATGTTTAAATAGAAACGTATTTGGCATTAAATTTAGTTTGGACCGATTTTCTCCACTAGGTTTTGTTTTACAGTCATTCTTCTACAGTAAGCTTGAAAGTGAGCGGAGCTTGAAAAATTCTGGTTCTGAATATTTAGGAGGTTGTACACTATCTGTTATAGTGAAAAGAGCTCACAGGAACAGATGAAGATTTTTAACCGATGGTTTTTTAAAAAATTTCGAAAACCGTGTAGTAAGAACTTACTTCTCGGTTATTAGTCTTGAAAATAGAGTTTGGGCCTTTATTAAAGTGTTCCTAGTGACACAAATCTTGCTCGATTCGAATTAAACCAAAAAAGGACTTATCTTCTCGAGACCTTTTTGTGAAACTTGCCCATGCTCCTTTAAAAAGTTCAGCGACGGTCTCAGAAAAAAATAATATTTCAAACCGAATATAATCAAGTCATGTAGGTCTTTTTTTATTAAATTTTTTTATCGTCTTATAGAAAAATTCATTAAATTGGATTTTTTTGCCTCAGGGTGACTTCAACTTCCAATTGAGAGAAGAAAAATTTTTTTATTTTTAAACGCAAAAAGCAAAAAAATCCCTTTCCAAAAAGTCTTTTAGATAAATTGAAAGCAAAATCGAAAAAAAGAACTTCTCTCGTCGAGACCTTTTTTCGAACTCTCCCTATGCTCCTTTAGAAGATCCAGCGAAAATCGCAGAAAAAATAAATCACTTTTTTTTACATAGTTAAACCATGTAGAAAGTACCTCATTTTGATTGAGGATTGTGAATCGAAGTCATCGAAATTATATTGTTCTCCTTGGTCAGGCCTCTCGGCGCTTCCGCGAACGTTGGTCAACGAGGCGGTTTCTGCGGAGCCGGAGCCTTCAGTCGTCGTCGCTCCTCGCCACGTCGTCCGAGAAGTCACGACGGTCCCCACGAGCACTTCTGAACTAACCACGACGCCGTCGCTTTCCATCATCTTCACGGTCCGACCGCCCGTCGCCCCTCCCGTCTTCCTTAACAGCATGAACACAGGTTTTCCGCCTCTAACTCTGCTCTGGCTTGATCTGTCGAGGAAAGAGTGCTTTGGGAACATCTGAGAGCTAAGGAAAGGCTTTAGCGAAAAGTTCACTATGTTATTGACTCAAAATGGTATCCTAGAAATGAAAAAAAGCTTTTTTTCTTCAAGAACTCCCTCCTCGCTAAGGGGCGTGGCCTGTCTGCGCTCTCCGCCAAACACAAACTATTTCCTTTTCGTGTCAGGACCTTTTTTGATGGCTATGAGTCAGCTATGAAAGAATTTTAAACGATTTAAAGAGATTTTTCAACTTTTTGAGAACTTTTTACTAATTTCCTGTACTTTTGAACTGTAGTAAGCGTAGAAAATTTTTAACTGTTTTCTCAAAATTTTCACTTAAGAGGATACTTCAAATACATTGTGAGATTATCGGTTTAAACTTTTTTTCCCCCAAATTGGCTTTTTTTGAGTCTAAGGGCTGGAATTTTTCATACCTTCAGGAAATTTTTTAATCCCTAAGATAGTGAAAATAATGAAAATAAACAAAATAAAGCATTAAGAAATAGTTTTCTCCTGAAAGTTTGTCAAAAAATCAGAAAAAACGTTTGACAAGCTCAGAAAAATCCTGCAAGGTATGCTTCTAAGCTTTTTGGTCTTATAATTTTTTTTAAAAGTTAACGAATCAAAAATCGAGGTTGATTCTCAATAGAGCGCTCTTTCCTGGGTGTTTCAAGCCTGCAACTAATTAAGCACACATTACTGTTTCAGATATCTCTAATAATTCGTTTACTTGTTTTTTTCACTACTGCAGACTTCGAAAAACTCGATTTTATAATTTTTAAAAAAATAATTTTTATATTTTTTTCTAGAACTTGCTGCTTTTCAACTTTTTTTATCTTTTTAGTTTCTTTTTTTTTTTTTTGGTTCAATTAACTCAACAGGGACTGGCAAAAGCGTTGAGAATTCCGAGTTTCCAGAAAAATTTCGCCTTTTTTTTCCAGGAAAAGAAGAAGAAGGAGAGGAAGACAATTTGATTCAAGAACTGGAATCGGCGGTCATCACGCAGCGACCGGAGCCAAAAGGTTTTTTAAGGCTAGAAAAAGAAGAAAACTTTGTAATTGAAGATAACCATAGATTTCTGTTTCAAAACTTCATTCGAAATGGAAAAAAAAGTTGGTGAACATTTTCATGACCTTTTTGGGAATCATGGTTTTTCTTGGAAGTCTTTACCCTGATTTTGAAGGCCGGGGAAGTTTTTCATGATTCAAAGCAACGAAAAAACATTATTCGCGTTTTTCTGCCAGAACTAATCATTTTTATCATCTTTTGGGGGTTTTCAGAGATTTTGAATTATATCCGAGGTCTTTAAAGACGCAATAGTTTTGAATAGAATAAAATAAAAACTAAAAAAGGTCTTGATCCTTTTTCGAAATAATTTTCCGCTTCTTTGGACACCTATCATGAACTTTTCAGCATAGTTAACAAAAGTATGAAATGTTTTCCGTGTAAAATCTCAAATAATATCCTTCAGAAACTCCGGAGCCGCCGTCTGGAAAGCGTTCGATCCCCTACGCGATCCCTCGTCCCATCGACAACATGGCGAATCAGTCGAAGAACACCCGAATCCAGTGTGTTCCCTGTCCAGGCGGCATTTTCGGCCCGCCAATGACTCCCGCCCCAGAACTGCCGCCGTTGATAGTCCCCGCCGAGTCCTACGCTCCAGAAGGTAACTCCGAGGGCTACGTCCTTCCACCGCAACCTCCGCTTGCACCTTTGCCTGCACCCGAAACAGAAGACTCGGCTCTGGAAAAGTCCGAATCGGCCGAGATGATCGAGGTCGCGGCCACCGATTCCGCGACGGAAAAGTCCGGAAACCAGTTCCCCGACTCGGCTCAGTACATCAACGCTGAGAATTCCGAAGTTGTTGGTCCGACCTTGTCTCCTGAAGACCCAGATCTGCCGTCTTCCTTGTATGCGGGAGAAATGCAGAGTTCTGGTTATGTTCAGCCTCCAACGGCGGTAGCACCTGCACCAGCGCCGGTAAGGCCAATGCCGACGGAAGCAGAGTATGCTCCACTTCCACCTGGTCCTGCTCCCAAAAAAACCGCTTATATGGCTCCCACGGCTCCAAAATCAGAATATTCTGCACCTCCTCCAGCTCCTAAGTCAGAATACACACCAGCACCCGCACCAGAACCGAAAAAATCAGAGTATTCCGCGCCTCCTCCAGCTCCTACGACTTCAAAGTCTGAATATTCAGCACCACCATCACCTTCTCCTGCTCCTGCTCCCAAGCTCGAGTACTCTCAAGCTCCTCCAGCTCTAAAAACAGAGTATTCACCCCCACCATCACCGCCAACTCCAAAACCAGCTGAATATGCGCCTGCTCCAGCTCCGATAGCTCCAAAATCAGAATATTCACAACCTCCACCATCACCTCAAAAACCAGCTGAATACGCGCCTCCTCCAGCTCCAAAGTCAGAATACGCGCTACCGCCAGCTTCAAAGTCTGAGTATGCACCTCCTCCAGCTTCGAGCACAACAGTGCCGCCTCCTCCAGCCCCAAGAAAGCCAGAATATGTTCCTCCACCGCCTCCTCCAGCTCCGAAGTCTGAATACTCAGCACCACCGCCTCCTCCAAAGTCAGAATATTCACCACCTCCTCCAGCACCAGCAAAGCCTGAATATGTTCCGCCGCCACCTCCTCCAGCACCGAAGAAGCCAGAGTACGCAGCACCTCCTCCAGCTCCAAAGAAGCCAGAGTACACAGCACCTCCTCCAGCACCAAAGAAAACAGAGTACGCAGCACCTCCTCCAGCTCCAACTGATGAAATCGAGAACATTGGCGTCGTCGAAGCGCCTGAAGACGAGGATTACAGCCAAGTCGGAGACCAAGAGGAGGAATATGCCCCTGAACCCGCCCCCACTTCCTACCCGGCTGCTCCCGCACCCGCACCGCATGTCCCAGGTGTCGTGCCGCATGAACTGCCCTCACCTGCAAAAGGCGCTTACGTCACTGATCATGGCTCCAGTAAGACCTATCCTCTGAACAGGAGAAACGTTTCTTTGCAGTTACCTCCGAAGAGTCCGGCTACGAAGAATCCCATTCTGCCTACTCCACGGCCACTAGCAAACCGAAATATCAGAGTTTGCCGCCGAGTAAGTTTTGAAGAGAAATTATCAAAAAAGTGTTAATTTTCACTTTGGTTCTAGCAGCCCCTGCATCAGTAGAGTCATCGACGGAAGACATGGCGGTGGAGACGTCGGTTTCCGGCTCCTTCCAGCCAAGTAGACCAGCTCCTCCTCCCCCTCCCCCACCTCCTCCAGCCCCTGCTCCAGCTCCACCACCACCACCAGAGCCTGCTCCAGCTCCAGCTCCGCCTACAGAGCCAGAACCGGAAATCGTCGAGCCCACGACGTCGGCTCCCGCCGAAGAAGAAGAGGAAGAATCGTCGAAGATCGACGAAGAGGACGTCCACGAGGCGACTTTTGCAGTTCGGCCAACGCTCCCGCCTTATATCGAAGTTCCCGAAGAGCCGCCGTTCGTCGACGCCTACCCCGGAGAATCTTCCTACGCCAGTCTCGAGGGAGACCATTACAGTACTGGCGGTTTGGTTGCCACCGTTCAGTCGACGGCCGGCGGTGGTGGATATGCTCACGGACCGGTTGAGGTGTGTTTGAAACAGTAGGATTAGTGTCTCAGGTATACTGTAACTGAGATAAAACAGTTGGATCGAAAATTGGGTGTACTGTAACTGAGATGAAACAGTAAGATTGATAATCGGGTGTACTGTAGTTGAGAAGAGAAAAAGTAGGATCGAAAATCAGGTGTACTGTAATTGGAAAGAGAAACAGTAGGATCGAAAATCAGGTGTACTGTAATTGGAAAGAGAAACAGTAAGATCGAAACATATGCATACTGTAATTGATGAAAACAGAAGGGTCGAAAGTCAGGTGTTCCATTATAATGAAAAAAAAGGAGGGTATAAGTAGGTTTACTGTAATTGAGAAGAGAAACAGTAGGATCGAAAATCAGGTGTACTGTAATCGAGAAGAAGAACAATAGAATCGAAGTTTGGGTGTACTGTAATTGGAAAGAGAAACAGTAGGATCGAAACATAGGTGTACTGTAACTGAGATAAAACAGTAAAATTGATAATCGGGTGTACTGTAAGTGAGGAAAAAACGGTAGGATCGAAAATTAGGCGTACTGTAACTGAGATAAACAAAGTAGGATGGATAATCGGGTTTACTGCAATCATAAAAAAAATACCGTAAGATTAAGCCTTGGGCGTACTGTGATTGAGAACGTCAAAAAGAGTATTCTCATTGAAATAAAATTCATTATGTGCAGTAAAAACAAGATTTCTTTATAAGGGGAAAATACTTATAGCTATTTATCCATAGAGCAACTTTGCTCTGTTACGTTTTTTCACGTCGATTTTTCAACCTTTATGTGTTTTTTTTTCTTTGATGGGGTCTTTTATATTGAATTGAACAAATTTATTGACAGTGTGGACCCTAATGAGTTCATCTTAATCTGAAATTTTGGAGAATGCAGATTACTTTTCAAAATTCCCGACTCTTGGAACATGGGAGAAACTTATTCAATGGTAGATTAACATGTAAATTTTTAATTTTGAAAATTTGCGGTGGTTAGGGAATTGAAATTCAAGGCCTTTTTCTTCAGTTAAGGAGTCAGAAATAAAAGTACGGCTGATTTCATGTAGAATTTTAGGTAGAACCAGCCTCCTACGCGGCCCCAACTCCAGTGATCCCCTACATCCAACGACCTCCCCCTCAGCCTTCCTACCAACTTCCTCCATCTCAACCTCAGGGCTACCAATTGCCACCGACCTATTCTTTCCAACCCCAAGGCTACGCTCAACCTCCTCCTCCAGCTCCCGCCTATGTTCAGCCTCCAGTTGGTCCAGCTCCCTTTTTCTGTATCTTGAAAAGTTCTTCAGCCCACCTACCAACCGCCGAATAACTGCTGCGGTGGACAGTTGTTCAGTCCGCAGGGAAATCTCTGCATGCCCTTGAATTTCAACCCGTGTCGACCTCAGGCTCCTTCTTGCGGTGGAGGTACCGGAAATTTGTGATATTTAAAAAAAAGGGGAAAAAAATCAGATTCTCGGTTGAAGTTGTAAAATTTTTAATTTTTTTCGGAGAAATTTTTTTCAAAATACTAGGTGAAAAAAATAATTTTTTTCCAATGCTTTTTTTAGCTGCTTCATTTTTACAAAAAGCCTTTCGAAATCCAGGAAAGAAGATATTTTTTTCAATTAAAAAGACAATTCAGGTGATATTGTCCGTGGAGCGCACTTGCTCCTTTCATTTTTTTCTAACGATTTTTTTCTTTACTGAGAAAAATATGTCTTTGTATGTTTTTTTCCCGATAAGTAACATATCCAATGTGCTTTCACTCCAGTTTTTCGGTAGTGAAGCTCAAAAAGTATAGGAACTACTGAAAATCTCAATGGGGTCTAGTAAGTTGAATAGAAGCTTATAAAAGCGTAAAAATAAGAAATGAAAGTTTTTTTTTGAAATCTGTTATTTTCCGATTTTTAAGTCTGAAAGCTCCTCGAAAAAGCTCAGAACAAGAAAATAGTCCGTTCACCGCGACTTGACGCTTTTCGAGTATCTGCGTCTCTCTGTTCCCTCACCGACAAGATCAGAGAAACATGAAAATAGCACGTAAACATGAGAGGGTCACCGAGAGACGAGGAGGGCGCAGAGAAAAAAAGCATAACAAAATTAATATTTCCGTAACTTTCTCAGGCTGTGGAGCTCCTTCTCCATGTCAGTCTCAAGGATGTTCTTCCGGATGTCAGCAGGTTTTTTCTGAAATTGTCCGAACTGTATATTCTCATGGCTTATCAGTCGTGCTGCCAATCCTCGTCCTGTTGTCAGCCTCCCCAGCCGATGACGTCATCCTGCTGCAACCAGGTCGTCTCGACCTGCTGCCAACCTCGGCAAATGCCTTGCTGCAACCAGCAGGTAACTTTTTTATTTCGAAAGAAACATGAGTTTGCATTTTTGTGACTTTATTAAAATTCCGAATATAGTTCATTTCTCAGTTCTTCTACCAGAGGTTGACGTTGACTTTTCTTACTTATTTTAAAAGTCGCGAAATGCAAAATTGTCTCTGACTCTCTTAATTTTCGTTATCTTTTTCACTCTCTGGCAGCTGTTTTTAAATTTCGCGGAATCACTTTTTGAACATGGAATTAACGATAAATCTAAATTTAGACCAATAAACTTGTTTTTAATCGAAAAAAATGTCCACTGAAAAGCATGTCCTTTCATGTTATTGATATTGGACTTTTTTTCAGACAAAAAGAGATCAATTTTTTTATGAGTTTTTTTGATATGCGAAGTGAAGTAAGGACCCTATTATTTGGGATTTTTTTCAAGTTGAAGTCAATTTTTCTGCTAAATGTTTATAATATTCCTCAAGTTTTTGCCTTTGAGTTTCTTCCAATGGTAATGAGATCAAGTTTTTAAAAAAATATTTGTTATTTTTTTCGGTTTTTTTATTGTATGATAAGTCTTATTTATTGTATGATAAGTCTTATTTATGAAGTAGTAAAAAAACATATTTTTTTTGAGCCACAAGGTTTTTTTCGACGAAACGATAAGTTGTATAGCGAATAATTAAAATAAATTTGAATGTCCAGGTTCAAACTTGTTGTCCTCCGCCGCCACCGCCGTCCTGCTGTTGCCCTTGTTGCCCATCTCCTTCTAGTCTTTGCCGCGGGAAACGGTTATTTTTTTCATTTCACTCGTAATCCAGTTAAAAAATGATTCTAGGCTTTAGGAATACCTTCTTTATCAAAAAATATTTTTTTTCCAGATTTTTTTTCCGATATTTGAAACTTTCTCAAAAAGGGGCGGAGCCACTTAAGACATAGTTAAATATGATTAGAAAAAAATTTGTGAGAACAATGATAACATTTTGAGGAACATCAAAAAAATTTGAAATTCAATAACTTCAAAAATTTTTTTCAGCTCGATCGGCCACGCGCTGGGAATCTGCTCAAGAAAAAAAGAAGCTGAACAATTATTTCATTTCAATAATTTATTTATATGTATTTATAATGTATTTAATGTTTTTATTTGTTATTTATTTTTTGTTTCGATCAATTCTTGCCCCCTGAAATCACCTCCGTCTTTCATACTTCTTTTTGTGACTTTAATAATGAAAATCAAAAAGGTTTATTATATTAATCAACCCGTGAAAAGTTTGAAATTCAAGAAAAAACAGACAAATCAATGAGATTAGTGAGATTCAAAAAAAAAGTTTGGTACCTAAATTTGAGCCTTGGGGGAAATAGCAGTGGGATTGGAAGTTCAAACATGGATGGCATCACGAAATTGTTCGATTTCGTAGACTTCTTTGGTGGAAAGCGAAGCTCGCGCCATGATCAGCGATCCCATACCGTAGGCTCGGATCTGAAAAAAAGCATACTGTAATTGAGATTACTGTAGCTGGAAACTAATTGTGCAAACACACGTGGGTGGCTAACTTGTTATGGGAAAAGTTGTTTTTTCAAAGTGTGGGTGGGACAAAGCGAGAGAGTATCATCGCATGAAGAGACGTCAGAGAAGTTAGAGCACTTTTCTTTCTCTGGCGTCTCTCCAAGCAAGTGAACTCTCGCTGGGACTAGAAATGTTTGAGAGGGACTTCACAACTACTGTAACAAGGCTACTGTAGTTTTCGTTCTTTCAAAACACTTGGATGTCTATTTTTTAGGAATTTACGGTTAAAACTTGGTTTGAGACTAGAACAAACTTTTAAAAAAAATGAAATGAGTATGAAAATTACTGTATTAAGTTTACTGTAGATTCAAATTTGCATAGTTTTCTCGTCCAAAATAGGGAAAAAATAATTAAAAAATGCCAAAATTTGATATTTTTGAGATTTCTACCATCACGATCACATATTCTTACTCCTCAAAACGGTACGGAATCAATAACAAAAGCTAAGAAACACAAAAAAAAAGACAAAACGGAAAAAAAGGAGTTTCACACACTTTCTAAGCCAGTTCACGCTTTACCTTGTGATGGAAAAAGGGAATAAAAACAATTTTCAGACTCTTCCGGTCCAAAGCTGCACCATTTCACTCTATAAGGTTGAACTTGTAGTTTTAATTGATTTTTGAGGTTGATTAGAATTGAAATAAGCAATTTTGAGCCGACCTCGAGTTTCGGCGTGGCGGTGGCGTCGCTGCTTTTGGCCGAATACGGACAGAGACGTTCGGCCTCGATTTGAGGCACGTCGTAGAGCTTTTTCCGGAGACGGGCGTCGCATTCGGCGGCCGGACAACAGCCGCAGAGTCGGCTCAGGAGGTCGTTGAACTTGCGTCGGACCTGAAACGGGTTTTCGATCTTTGAGGCTTTCATGAAGGTTATTGAGCTCCGAAAAATTTTCTGAAAGTTTGATGGGACAGTCTTTGGGGTACTGAACAAAGGGATGCAAGTTTCAAAGGACATAGTTTCGCATTTTTTTCAGTTTTTTAATAGTCCATTCATAAGATTGGATTCAAAAATCATAAATTTTAAGAATTTGAAAGGAACTTCCTGAAAATCCGTCAGGACTACTTGGAGAGGACTCTGAAGTGGCCACTAATCACACCTCTATAGTGACCACTAGTTTCCGTTTTAGTGGCCACTATAGAGGTCTCTTTTTAGCGGCCACTTCAGTAGTTTTTCATCCAGTACTCCTTCCAGTAACTCTGATATTTTTAAAACAAACAGATTGGACCAGTTATGTTGATCCATTGACCCCTAAAGTGGCCACTAAAATTTTTAGTGGTCTAGTAGTAGCGCTTAGACTTCTATAGTGGCCACTAATTTTTAACCCCTCAAGTGACCACTAAATTGACTGCTATAGTGGCCACTAAAACGTCAAAACCCTCTAAGGGTCACTGAAAATTTTCGCAGTCAATCGAAAAATGACCTCAGTGCGGATCTGTCGATCGTTGATGGCGTAGATGGGAAGCCTCAAGGCGCAGGCCAAAATCGGAAGAAACGAGGAAATGTCGGCCAGAATTGCATAGACCCCAGCATTATCGAGCATCAGGGAGTCGAGGTCGATCGTCTGGAAAATTTTCAATCTTTTTTGAAAGAATCTTGATCATCCACAGGTTAGAATAAGTTTCAAGAGCGGAACAAGATTTTTTTCGAAAGTTTTTATCTAACGTTTGTGATCTTTGAATTCTAGAACATTTTACTTCATGATAAAAAAAGTATTTTTTTTGTTACTCATAATTCAAGACTTTATAATTTTCAGTCTATTAAACGCGGATTATCATGAAAAAAACCTTCAAGTATCGAAATTCTTGTCTTAGAAAGAAAGTCTCGGTTTTTCATGAAGAGATAAAGCTTCTTTTCAGTCTCAAAAAAATCTTCAAAAACTCTGATTTTTAGACTTTTATTCGTCAATTTTAGCTTTGTCCAAAGTTTTTTCTTCTCGAAACTCGATGAATTCAAGTTTTATTACAAATTTTATTCCCTCAAAACTTTTCACATTAATTTGGAGCTTCTACAAACTTTTCATTTTAACCTTACTCCGAAAACTTGAACCAAATTTATGTCTAAAAAAATTTTTCAAAAAAATCGGCTTCAGATTTTTCCCGCCAATTTTCACTTTCACTACAAGCTTTTTCTCTTCTCGAAATCTGTTGAAGTTGAGCTTTATTCCGAGCTTTTTCTGACTTTCATCTTCAAAATTCAACTTTTTGCTTTTTACCCTTTAATTTTTAGCTTTTAGTGAGTTTCTTCTCCTCAAACAAACCTCCCAGAAAGCGATGATGACGTCGAGAATGTTGGCCACCAGGTAACAGGTAACAACGAGGACCAACATCCGGGTGACGGCCCTCAGACGCGACCTCAGCCTCGTCACCTCTCCTCTGAAAACTCATCCATTCATTCCACGAAACAGATAAGGAAATTCTGATCAAACCGGTGCAATTGATAATATTCTCACAGTGCTTGTATCTCTCGCAAAAAAACTTGCATTTCCAAACAGAAAGAAATAAAAAAGGAACATTCGTGGATCGGATTGGTGTGGAAAACGTGGCGTGTGCTTCTTTTTTTTTGGCTTTTTTGCACACTCCATACTTGAATAATCTCCGGAAGTACATCTGAGCGTCGGATCTTAAATCGGGGAACGTTGCGGGAGTCTTGCGGATGTCAACAAGCTTTGCAGAAGGAGAAGAGAATAAAAATAAATGAATGAATGGAGAAAAAAGTGATTTTTGAGGTATGAACATCTATTACCTAAAAGTCTATTTTTTTGGGTGAAAATTTCGATAGTAATAAACAATTTTTTTCTAGAAATAATTATGGGAGTTTTGAAACGTCGTGTTAGTACATGGAACATCGAAAAACGCAAAAATAGAAGTTCAAAATATTCAATTTCGATTCAAAAATTTGCAAAACTGCTGTCCAATTTTTCAGTTTTTTTTTTTGAAAAACCACCTTCTCAATACGTGAAAATACTCAGGTAAAATTGAAAAAAGTCAAATTTCATTCAAAAAACTTTTTTTTGAGAATAACTGACATCCATATCATATCATTCCCAGGATAAGCTACTTTTTCAAATAGTGTCCGTACTTTAAAAACGTCCCTAATAATTCAACAGTTCAAATAATCGCTTTTAAAAATTTTCAGAAGCTCAGGAAACTTAAAAATTTGGTTTGTAAAATAAAAACTCAATATAAGCCGCAAAAAAACTTATTTGAAAAAAAAAGCTGTAAGCTTAAAGAACGCCAAAAAACAAGATCCTCATGCGAAACTCAGAGGTTCGATCCGAAAGGAAAAACAGCAAAAAGGTTAAGAAGAAAGAGAATAGTTAGTAGCGAGAAAAGGACATGATAGAGACAAGAAAAGGAAGGAATTCGAAAACTGAAAGAGTTTTTTCCGAGGGTTCAACGAAAAGAAAGGTGGAGAATTAGTTGCAAATCAATCATTTTGTTACCTTTCGCAGTTTCCAAGTGGGCTGAAATATTGGTTAATTGGCTTCGGATTGGTTAGTTTTGTTAGTTTATGTTGAATTGCAGAGTGAATTCTTTAATAAAATTTACAAATGCGCTTTAGCGAACAAGAACTTTAAAAAAATCTTTTTATACTTCCACGAACTCCGTAACGTAAACTGGACATTTCCCAAACGTTCTTGAGCATTTATATAAGCCAAGTTTTCAAGTAATCACTTAAGAGTACTGACGCCGCTACAGTGACTACTAGAAAGTCTCAGAAACGTTGGATTTTACGGTTTCCGTTACAGAGTGCCTTTTTATCGAAATTTCGAGTTCGTTAGAGCACATTTGTGCAACTCAACAGTCAATGGACTATAGTGTTAAATACTAGAAAAAAATCGGTTATTTTTTTACAAAAAAATCAGTTTTTGTTAGTTTTTCTAAAAATCAAATTAACACAGCAGAAAAAAAATGTGAAATTCACTGAATATTATTTTTTTGTTGGGGAACGTAAAAAAATGAAGAAAATTATTAAAAAAAGTGGGTTGAAAACGAAAAACGCAAAAAAATCAGAAATCGAAAAAAATTTTTTTATTCGTTAGAAAAAAATTAAGGTTCTTCCATTTTACAACTTTTTTTCACACTAAACTCCTCAAGAATTTATTTTTCTGTTTCTCTGTGATCTCTCATTTTTGCGGAATATCTCGCTAATCTTGCCAAGAACATCTTCTTGAAAATTCAGTAATATTTTGTATTGGATTTCCTCTAAATCGCGAATTTAATTTTTTACTTGTTAATAACACAATCTAATAGTTTCCCGTTGTCATACTTTCGAAAGCTTTTTTTTCTGGGCTCCGAAAATCCTCGATTTCTAAGCTCTTATTTTAATTTCCTTCAACCCTTCAAGAAAATTATTTTACCTGGTTCCAACGGTGATGAAAAGAACGAGCGCTTTAACGGTCTGATCTCGGTCCGTCTTCCTCACATTCATCACGATTCGAGCGTTGAAATAGGCCAAAACTGAAATCATCCTCATTTATTTCAACAATCCTTTGAGCTTTGAATAACCTATGAAAGGCAAAAAGACGGTGACGATTTTCCGGACCCAAAACCGCCAGACGACGTCGACCATCGGGTTTGAAAAGACTCGGACTGCCGCCAGACCCAGAGACGAAAAACCTTCGCATTTGTGGTTGTAGACAACCTTCATAATCAAACTCAACATTGAAACAAATCCGAAAAAAAAACCTTGATTTCGAAAAAGACGGTTCCTCTGAAGATTAAGCTTCCTAAAAAGCAGAGTGATACGACTATGCCTCGGTGGGTGGCGAGAAGTCGGAATAATTGGGTCGACCTGGAATTTTTAATTTCTTTATCGTATATTAATGTTTTTGGCGATTTGTTTAAAAAAAACTAAAAAAAAGGAAGAAGTAACGACATGTGAAAGTTCAAAAAATCAAAAATTGTGATCTGTGAAAACTTTTAGTGGTCACTATAGAGGCTCGCCAAGGACTACTTGGAGAGAACACTAAAGTGGCCACTAAACCCACCTCTATAGCGGCCTCTATTTTCCGTTCTAGTGGCCACTATAGAGATTCTCCATTTAGTGGTCACTTCAGTATGTTTTTATCCAGTATTCCAGTAACTCTGATAATATAAAAACAAACAGATTGGACCAGTTATGTTGATCCATTGACCCCTAAAGTGGCCATTAGAATTTTAAGTGGTCTAGTAGTAGCACTTTGATCTCTATAGTTGCCACTAACTTTCCACCCCTCAAGTGGTCACTAATTTGACTACTATAGTGGCCACTAAAACGTCAAAACGCTAAAGGGGCCACTAAAAACTTCCCCAGTGATCTTCCTACAGTAGTCCACCCGCTATATCTAGTATGGATAATCTTGTCTCAAATTAAAAAACATCACTCAAATAGCTTCTCCCCTACTCTGCAACTTCCGCGGATTAGTGGGATGAGATCTAATCCAATGCGTTTCCGAGCAGGTGGTAAACTAACCGATTATCTCCGGTGCTCTGCAGGTATCGTTCGATGGTCGCCGCCATCAGAAGGAAAGAAGCCGCCGACAAGGTGATATGTGACACGGTGAAGGCCGTTCTCAGGTAGCTATGCCACCAGACGAACAGTCGGAACGATTCGAAAAAGTCCGTATAGACCTAAAAATTGAAGCTCTTTTCGAAAATTCCATATGTATTATCATAAGCTTCTTCTTCAAAAATTACAAAAACTTTATGTCAAAGAAAATGGCTCAACGCGTCGCGGTCGCGAAGCGGTTTACTTGAATTTAGAATGGTATTTTATTTTGCAGCACAGAAGAGAAGTAGTTTAGGGTCGGTCGCAGTTATGTGGTAACTAATTTTTATCAAGGTTTCAGTTATTAAAATTGTGAAAAAAGCTGTAGAAGTCTAACTTCTTTCATGTGACCCTACCTGAGAATGAATGCATCAACCTACACTCCTATCCTTTCTGAATTCTACGTCATCTTGGCAAAAAGACTAAAAACTGAAGATATAAGAATAAAAAAAACTTTGGAATAGGAAAATAGTGAAAAATATCTTTTCGATTTTGAAAAGATCTCAGGAACGCCAGAGGGACCCCTAAAGGGAAAAATAACAGCCTTTATTAGGGACAATATAATGATCCCTAGAGAATTCAAGTGGTCCCTATAGGGGAGGTAAGGCGTTGTCTAAATGAGAACCTTCAAGTGGCTCTGAGGTAGTCACTCAAGGGGCCACTCTGGCGATAATAAGTCCATTTATAGCGTTTATTTTCTGAAAAAGAACCTTCCTAGAACTTGAACCTCTTGAACTTGTTCCCGTCTCTTTTTACCCACACAACTCCAAAAATTCTCATAGATCGAGAATTCCCACGTAACGACATCGTCATGACTTTTTTCTTCTCTTTGCACTTTCAAAGATTGAGTTCGAACCCGCGCGTAATCCATTTAATTGACGGCAAAAACTTCTTTTCTTCTATTTTCAGCTGTAACTTTTTACCTGGACACACATGATGGCGATGTAGCAGAGGGAGAAGAAGACGTCACAGCCGGAGATCCACTTCAGGTAGATCAGGTTCCGTTTTCGGAGCACCTACGAGTTTTGTGATTATTAATTATGAGTAATATCGTAAAATTTTTGAAGAGTCGGTAAAAGTACTTCTAAAGGGTTTGTGGGGTATATTTTTCTTCAAAGCGGTCCGATTTTTGGAAAGCAATCAAAAGAGTTCAAAATAAATACCTTGCTGGTGTTGAAGGTGTAGAAGAGCATGCAGTTGTGGACGATGCTCACCACGGCCGTGACAAGGCCCAACACGCCGACAAATACCATTTTCCATTCCTGAGAAAATAGTTATATTTTTGGGGCCAGGGTAATGAAATTTTTATGAAAAGCTGTTTGAATTTTTTTCGAATATTTTTTTCTGGGGTTTTTTGAAACAATAATTGTTTCGTCCTAGTGCTTCTAGAGATCAGAATCGCTCGTTTTCTAAGAAAAATAACCAAGCTTTCAAAAAAACCTCAAAGCTCTGTAATGTTCAATACCTACTACCTTTTCAAGATCCCCAGAAAATCGAAAAAAAAAGGATTTTTAAGTTGCATGAGTAATAGCTCAACACATCACGGCTACTGAAAATTTATTTTTTAACTGCGCCCGACCACGAAACGACTTGCGCGCGAAGACATCAGAAAAATCGAGAAAAAGTAATATTAAAGTTTCTCAACCGCGCTTTGAGCCATTCTGATGGTCTCATGGCGGTCTTTTTGAAATTTTCAAAACGCGCATAAAAATTTTATTTTTAATTTTTTTAAAAAAATTTCTTTCGAAAAAGCTATCAAAAGCCATTCCAAATGCGTCATAGACTTTTCAAAGATTTTCTGAAAATTACCAAGAAAATCTGCGGCACGTAGATGCAGTCCGGGTCGACATCGCTGTCGTTCAGCGACGACGCCTCCATTCATCAACGCCGGGGCTACTGTAAAACTTCAACTAAACTTATTATTAGAAAAAAAGTTACGTTTCAAACAAATGCAAGGTTTGGAACGGTGTGAAAAACAATTAGAGATTGTTGAGGAAGGAAAAATTGCAGTGGCAGACAGGAAAACAATGATAATAATCGAGTTGGGAATTCGATTCGGTTCTAATCATGCAATTCTGGAGACTGACTTGTCTATGAAAAAAGAAAATGTGTTGAAGATAGTATAAGAATCAATGCGACCGCGTCGCTTTAGCCATTCCAAATGCGACCAGAACTAATTTTGAAAATGGTCGTAAGATCATGCAGATTTTTTGAAAGCAGTTGGCAAAAAATTGTAAAATCGAGAAAGACTGAAAAATCGAGACACGGCCGCGACGCTTGACCCATTCCAAAATGCGACCAAGATCTATCAGACTAAAAAAATGAAATATTTGTGAGTCCTAAATTCATGCGAAAATTAAAGAAAAAGGGACGATTATAAATTAAAAAAAACTGGAGAATAAGAAAAAAAAAGTATAGCCGCAATGCGACCGCGTTGCTTGAGCCATTCCAACTGCGGTCTTTTTTCATGCAAAACTTTGCGATTTTTTACTTTTTTTTGAAGACAATAACCTCAAAAGGAAGCAGATTGAACTTGAAACTCCAAAAGGCCGCAAAGTTCTAACAAATCTCACAATTTCACAATATAGATAACAGGTCAAAATGATAAAATCCAGTAACTCCTACGATTTCTGATCATCTACGATCCGAAAGAGAACAAAAAAGAGCCTCCTCAAAAAAACTCCTATATAATAGTACATTATCACTAGAGAAGATAATCCAATTGATATAACAAAAAAATTTCTAAGAAAAAAACCAGGTCTAACACTTTTTCCAATGATATCATGGCTACATGAATAGGACTTCATTAGAATTCAAAACTTTATAAAAACAGGTCAATTTGGTTTTCTTTTCATTGCGTGGGCTCTTGGCGGAAGTTCGGGATTGAAAAATTGCTGCGTGACAAAAAAGGAAATTGTCTATACATTTTTCCTTGTTTTGTACTTTTGCGTGCGGGTTTTTCCAGGAATAGACACGGTTTGGTCAAAGATTGGGTAGCTGCAAAAATTTTGGAAGTTATCAACTCTTGAAGAGTACAAAAAAAAACCAAGAAGTTTTTCCGGACTTTTGAGGCCCTTTTTCGAATGGGAATTGAAAATTTTCGGGTTAATCTCAAGTTTTGAAAATTTTTCCTAGGTATCTAAAGCACCAGGTTGTCTTTCAGAAAAAAAAACGCTCTTTGCTGAAAAAAAAGAAAGGAGATACTGTGGCTTCTCTCATGTGAACTTTGGACAGGAAGATGATATCTGAGAAGATTTTTCCACCCTCGATTTAAAGGCGCATGCTATCGGCACGTCCATCTACCGTAGTTCGTTTTCGAAAAGACGGGAAAATATTTGATGAAAAATCGAAAAAAGGTCTCAAAGAGAATGGCTGAACGACTGCAAAATAGTGACTAGTTAAAGAAAAACTTTCATTAAAAATTAGTGAAGTTTATGGTGCATTTCTGAAATTTTAGCTTCAACCGCAACGCGACCGCGACGCTTCGAGCCATTCTCTACGCGGTCAGTAGATTTCGACTTGTAGAAAGTGAAATTTAAGAGAAACTTGCACGATTACGGAAGTATTACGGATCGTGCGCAATAATAAAACCTTCGATTTGAACTTGATCCGAAACCGAGAAAAATTTTTAGAAAAGGTGATATTTGTTTTCGTATCTTTTTTTAATATTTCAAAACTCATACTAAAAAAAGGCAATTCGACATGAACGGAAAGGACTTCCAAAAAAAGGCCGTCCTGATACAGTTTTTTTGAAAATAAAAAAATTAAGAAAAATTCGAAAAAAATCAACTTTCTGGTGTTATTTATGCGTGTACCTTTCTCAAAATCCAGTAAAAAACTCAATTTACTTTTTGAAAGAGCTTTTTTGAAGTACTTTTCGGTTTGAGCTTTTGAAAAGTCAAAACAAAACTTTCAGACTAAACCTCGAAAAACCTGCTTAACTTCAAAGCAGGCGGCCTTGTTTTTGGGCAACGCTGATCATCCTACAACCTTAAATCGAGTTAAACTCTGGAATCGTGTCCTTTGACGGAGGAAAACGAATAAAAGACGCGTGCAAATAAAGCTGACAAAAGGACGAACTCTTTCGGCCTCCGTGGAGAAAAAAAGTTGATTAGGCTCAAGGGGGCGGAGCCATTTTCCAAGACTCCGCCCACTTTTTTCTGCTTTTTTCTGGTCCGAACTTATGGATGAATTTTGGGAAACACGTGCTTTACTGGATCTCATGAAGTTCCTGAAAATTGAAGGTAAAAAGAAAATAAATCTTCTTTCTAATAGTCGAATTGAAAAAGAATACTTCAGTGCCTCGGAAAAGGGAAAAAGTTTTCTAACATGAGCAATAAAATTCGAGTAAGTTTAGATAAACTAAAGACCGCTCTACACATAAAATCTTATGAGAAACATATTTTTCCGGGAAGATTTGAGGATTTTTACGATTTTCACGACACATGGGACAGAATCGAAACAATTTCAAAAAAAAAAAAAGATTTTTTTCAAAAGTTAAAACTCATTAAAAACGCTTTCAAGTTTTTAAAGGCGATAAAAAAGATAAGGGAATAGATCTTGGTCACATATTCTACTTTTAAATGAGGATTTTGAGACTTGAAAAATCGGGAAAATTTGAATTCAAATTTATTTCATACCTGCTAACATGAGCAATACCAAGAACATCTTGTTTGCTACATCTTCCATCCAATCTTCCGGACAAAGAACCCGAAAAAACCTATCAAATGTGTTCGAAGTGCACCCACAAACACCTACAGAACGCCCGCAAAGTGAATTAACCCATAAAGGGAAACTTTATTTCCACGAGAGCCAAATCCACTCAAGGAAAAGAATGTTTCTCGAACTTCAAACCCCACTAACGAAGTTAAAAAAGAACAGTAAAGCTGCAGATTCGGGAAGCACTTTGGGATATTCGTTCAAAAAAGGACTGAGTAAACATTTCGAAGAGGGTCTTAAAAAATAGAAAAAAAATGAGTGAAGGAGAACTACTTTCTTTGATTAAATTTTTTTTTCTTTTTAGTGAATTTTGAGGCAGTATTCCAAGCTAAAAATGAGGAAATAGAAAAAATATGTTTCAATTCATTCTTCGAAACGAGGTTATTTTTGCTTTGAATACCCTGAAAAAAGGCCAAAAACCAGAAAAAGGTCCTGGAAGTCTCAAACTACAAAAATAAAACCCTAGTTTTTGAAAAAAAAAAGGACACCTCCAAGTCAAATACAACCTTCAAAATCCGTTAAAAAGGCTATTTTGGGGGCTTTGAGCCTTCATTTCTCGAAAACTAGGAAATTTTGTAGATTGAAACTTTCAGGATCATTTTCTGGTACAACCAGAAGTGTTCTGACCACACAGCCAAGTGAAAATTCCTCCCTTGTGGGAAGAAAACTTGAAGCTGAAAATTCAAACTCGCGTCATAACCCTTAACGATTTCGTGTTGGTTTGACATCAAGACTTGGCGCATAAAGTTCGAAAAAAAATCCAATTTCTTTGTTTTGTTATCGCAACCCATAAATTTTAACGATTTCGTGTTAGTTTGGTAATGGAGCTCATAAAAAAGATCATGGAGTTTGAAAAAAAAAAGCTGCTTTTCGTGAGAAGATCGAGTTAGGGCAATGGAACTTCTCGTGTTAGTTTAGTATTAGGCTTCCTTAGAAAAAGTTGAAATGGAGAGTAAAAAGGAAAAAAATTATTTTTTTAACTTTTATTATTATAATATTTTTCAAAACTTTTTTTGTGGAATATTTAAAGGCACAAGGTTTTCAGAAAACTTAAAAAATAACTCGAAAGGCCTTTTTTTCTTCAAAATTTCATAAAACTCCTCGATTTTTTTTTTGAAAACCTTGGAACGAATTGATGAAACAGTTCCGAAGATTTACGGTGTAAAACTCGAATTTATAACGAATAATGAAGTATTTTTCAGAAAATTCAGGAATAATCCCATTTTCCCGCAATATAACCTTATTGAGCTGGAAAAAAAGATCAGCGTCTTTAAACTTGATCCGATTTCCCGATTTCGGAGATATTCACGTGAATCATAGAACATTGAATTTAGGAAAGAATCAAAAAAAGAACCTTTGAACAAAAACTTCCTTTGAGACTTTTCATTTTGAAATAACAGGTATTACAGCTTTAAAGCTTGATAAAAAAGTTGAAATTCAGGAAAATGTAATAGAACTTCTTCGTTTTACACTCATTATCATAATAAAAAAATAATTAGGTAAAAATACTGAGAGAACATAAAAACCGATCGCTTTTAAACGCATCCGACCTAAAACGACTTGCGCCAGATGACTTAAAAAAGCTTCGGAAAAAGCTACCAAGTGTCTGGTCGGCAGCGAATGCTCATAGCCATTCCAAATGCGACCATCATTTCCCGATTTGCAAGAGAAACAAGCTCAAGATTGGAAAAAAAGAACTCAAAAATAACTGGTGCTCCGATCGCTTCTAATCGCACCCGACCTAAAACGATTTGCGCCAGATGACTTAAAAAAGCTTCGGAAAAAGCTACTAAGTGTCTGGTCGGCAGCAAATTCTCCTAGCCATTCCAAATGCGACCATCATTTCCCGATTTGCAAGAGAAACAAGCTCAAGATTGGAAAAAAGGAACTCAAAAATAACTGGTGCTCCGATCGCTTCTAATCGCACCCAACCTAAAACGATTTGCGCCAGATGGCTTAAAAAAGCTTCGGAAAAAGCTACCAAGTGTCTGGTCGGCAGCGAATGCTCATAGCCATTCTGAATGCGACCATCATTTCCCGATTTGTAAGAGAAACAAGCTCAAGATTGGAAAAAAGAAACCCAAAAATAACTGCTGCTCCCTCGAATAAAGCTCAGAAACCATCGAATCAGACGGAGATCATTGTCCGAGGAGCAGAAA